AATTCATTTTTTTGACAATGTTCAAGGTGCTCCCCCACCTAGTAAAAAAAAAAATAAATAAAATAAATAAATAAATACTTTTGTATAAAATTAAAATAAATAAAAAATCGAATGAAAAAAATTGAAGTAAAATAAAATAAAAAAAAAAAAAAAGTTGTTCTAAATTCGCATATCAGATTTCGGTTAATTAACCATAAATAACACCGAGTTTCTATTATAGAAAGAAAGACCTTACTTTTGATATCCATTACGTATAAGATATTCAGGAACGATTCGTTGAAGAAATGTGTTGCCTTAAAAAAAAAAAAAAAATTATTTTGCGATCTGCAATTACTCAAAAAATCTTTTCTTGACATCATATACCTTTCATTTTTGCTCCGAAAAAGTATTTAAATTTACCATATTTAACCATAATATTAATAGATTTTCTTAAACACTATGCCGCATGTTTTTTTTTTTCTCATTTACATATTTATTCAGACAATGTAATATAAGACATACCGTATCCGGTGTTTATACTTGATAAAAACCTATTTATTGTTTACGAAAGTGGTAAGTATTTCGATACTCGCTCATTTTGTCCGTTTATTTGCAAAATTTCTGCTTATATTTAAGATGTCGGGTTATTTTTAGCCTCATTTTTGAAGGGAACAAAGAAAAAAGAAACAGAACACTAGACTTATTGAAAGGAACAAAGAAAAAAATTAAAAACATCAAAAATTAAAATGACAGGTCTTAACCTCCGTGAAGTGAATATAGTGAACAATGAATCACATACATTACTGTTAATGTTCATTATCGGAAGTTCTCCAAAATATGGGAGGTGATGATTCCATAAATAATACAACGCTAACTAAAACCAAGAATGCCCCCGTAGTTGAATGTTTCTAAAATGTCTCATCACGTGATTTCAAGGGCATAAAAAGCTAGACCTGTCTTTTTTTGTGGCAAAGCGTAAAACTTTTAAGCGATACGTGATTGTCTTTCGAGAATTTTTACGGTCGGCACACCATAAAATAAAATAACATTTCCATATCCTTACTGAAAGGAATTCCATATTAATACATCAATACTCCTCCAGTTTAGGTTATAAATCTGATCTGTCATTGTAATCCTGTTCATCAATAAAATATTGTTACATATATTACATTATCTCCGTCTTCTTAATAATTTCTATTTTAAGATTCTAATTAAGATCTACCATTAGAAAAGACGGAATTACTTTTTTTTTTTTTTTAAAAAGAGATGACATCAAATTTTTTTAATTGAAGTTTTTTTTTTGCGTGGAAAATTTCTCAAATTGATATTCGGTCATTGACAGGACAGGATCCGAGTCAAGTCAAAAAGATTTTTATAAATAGGGAAGACAACTGCTTCAAAAGATGCAGAGACGTTCATTAATTTTTAAAAAAAAATTTCTCTTCAAAATCATTTAAGATTTTTTTCTTTAAAAGTAAATAAGGCTTCAGATTCTTCACATCTGTTTTTTTTACAAATAAAAAAAAAAAAAACAAAAAAAAAAAAATAAATTTATATATTTAATCGTATATATATATTTGATCATTTAACGATGTCTCTTCAAGCTTCTTCATTAAACGACCTGGCTGATACTTTAATTCAAAAATTGACTAGAGAAAACATTTTTCCTCCACAATACAATAACCCTGAACATTTGTTGAACGATTCAAAGCGTAATAAGTTGAGACCACCCAGACCTCCTAATGGGTTCTTGCTTTGTCGTAAGAATGTTCATCAAGAGGCCAAGAAGAGAGGGATTTGTAATATGCGGGTCATCTCCAAGGTTACTGGAATGTTGTGGCGCGCCGCAACGTTAGATGAGAAGGAAGAGTACGAGAGACTCGCTATAAAAGTGCACAACCTTCACTCTCAACGTTATCCCGGATACAAGTATCGTCCCGCCGCGAGGGATAGGTCCGAACCTTACAATCCTTATGTGTTCTCCTCATCTCCTTCACCAACGACATCATCATTTATCGGATACACCTCCATGATCTCTTCAAGTGTTGAACAACCAATTCATCAAGCTTCTTCGAATTCATTCACTGCCAATCCCATCAACAACTTGTTTGACTTTACGCAAGAACAATTGGAACTCATGACGCTTTACCTTGGTATGTCGAATAACAGTATCAACTCTACAAATGAGAATGCAGCCCAATACCTCAATAGTTATGGATACATTTTAGAACATCAGTAAAAAATTTCTTTATACGATTGAATTATTTTATATTTTTGGTGCGCGACATTTTATGAATTTTTAAGATTACGTTTATCATTTAATTGTAAATTTTACATATCCTTATGTTATCATTTATTTATTATGTATATTTATTATGTATATTTATGTATGTATGTTATGTATATTCTTTTTTTTTTTTTATTATTATTATTATTCTTGTTTGTTAATTTGGCGTGGGATTCGGACTAGTCAAATTTTTTTTAATTTTTTTTTTTTTTGTGTGCGCGCGTGTGGGCTTGGGTATATTTTTTTTTTTTTGTTATTATTATTCTCGTTTTATCCTTATATCTAATCTCTTAAAATATGTGGCAAAATCGTGATTATGCTATCTTTTTATGATGAATTACAATTTATGATTAAGATTTAACTACGAAAAATGTTTCAAACAACGTACACTTCCCTCTTAAGTCACAAAACAACCATCCAACAAACCCAATTACTTTTTTGATGATCTTAGAATTCTTTACCTATGTTTCTTTAGTTTCTTAATATACGAAAAAATAAAATGTAGTAGTATTGCAAAACAATTTAAATTCTCATAGTTGTTCTTTCCTATATGTTTTAATGATAAAATCTTTGTCGAAAAAAATTAATAATAATAAAAAAAGTTATCTTTAATGATTCATTATATTTTGGTTTGCGTAAAACGTGACGAATCATTTGTTTACACTTCAAGTTAACATTCCCAACATATTCGGTGCATGTGCTGTAGCTGCGGTTGACCGTCCGGTCGATGACGTCGCTCACCCGATCCTTGGGAAACAGGACAATGCCCGCACCATCCACGGGTAATTATTACGTAATATTTGTGAATATCGCGTAATTTTTTTTTTTTTTTTTTTTTTTTTTTTTTTTTTTAAGAATTAAATATACCGAAACGCATTATTCATTTGACGGTATTTATCAATTTGACAAGTTATTCTGATAAAGTAAAACTTTGGTTTTTTTTTTCGTGTGATTGAAAAGATAATGATTAGCTAATCATATTGTCATTAATCTTCATTTTTATGTGAGAGTATAATCAATCATACTCCTTTAACTCATGACCCTCATGACTCGAGAAATTCCCACGAAGGAAAAAATTATTATTATTATTATTTTTTTTTTTTTTTACAATCATCATTTACAAAAACAAAAAAACCATTCTCCCGTTTGTAGATTTATAATCGGAATACGAACTATTATTTTGCGATCCTACTCGAAACCAAATAATAGATTTTATTTTTTGTTTTATTTTCACTTTGGAGGAAATTTCAAA